TTTCGCAACGGCAGGATGTGCTCTGATACGTATTGCGAGCGGTGCCGCTTACGGTTGCTTTACTATTTTTCTTATGAACTCCAGAAAATGAATTGAAGGACTCCCTTGCATATTTACCCGTGGTTCGTCATGTTCACGACTCACATCAGTCTTTGAGGTGGGAGAACTACGTAAAAAAAATGTAGTAATAAACACCTGTAGAGGCTCTCATGAGGGCAAGGGTGTTCGGGAGCAAGAGGGAACTGGTCCTCTCGAAGCCGCTTATTTAAAACGATAATTTCAGGGAAGAAAAGCCCACCAGTATATGTGAAGGTGAAACTGCAAGATGTGAATGACAATCAGCCTCGACTTGAAGCATCGGACAACTTCATTCGTCTTTCCAACAACAAACTCATCATGCCCTTCATCGTCCAGGTGCCACTTACTCAATTTAAGGAAACGTAGAAACGCTGCGAAATGTCTTTCGCTATCTCGTGGGGCGTGGTTTTGCTGAATGGACCTTTCAACTGCGGATCGGTTTTTGTCCGCAAATGAAAGGCCCAATCGAATAAGAGCCCTTTCGATCCAAAATTTCACAAGTACACAACGAAGAAAGGTCGTGTTTGTGAGTTCCCCTGTTTTTTTTAGCTTCTTAATACCCATCTCTTCACCTCTATCATCTCTTCACCATTCGGAATGGGAAGAGCCAGTAGAGGAACAAGCCCACCAACAGGAAGCCTTTAGAGGTGAAGGATGGGTGTGGTTTAGACAAATGGGCGGCGCATCGCGTCCTTATGAGTGCCTATCGTTCTTACCACGTTTTTTGAGTCGCGAAAAAACTATACCCTCCTGTGCTCGTGGACCAGAATACTTTGTCCGAGAAAAGCGTGGTTCGTGAGGCAAAGCATAAGCAAAAGCTTCGCAGCACTCTGATCGTACAAACTCCCCCAAAGCAACGCTTCACACCGAGCGGTTAGGCAATTATCGAGGTTCTGTCAACTAAACATTACCATTTAGGTGCTTGATCCGGACGAGCCAGCCTCAAACAAAAATCATCTCACTTTGTCAGGAGACGCCGCTAGTTTCTTGGGCGTAAAGGAGATATCAACAAATCTCTATCAGGTCTGTGTTTCTTTGTCTGGATTAGGAAGACCACAGTTATTCTCCCAAGGCGAGGCTTGCTTGCGCGGGGCTCCATCGTAGTAACCTATGCATATGCGAGCCTTTGAGGTACTTGTTGCACTTACTTTTGCATCGCTTCGCATGTGGTGAAGAGGTACTGGTAACAGACTTCGGTACCAAGATTCCAAAAGTCTTGTTCTAAGAGAGTTCAAGTTTGGGTGTCTGGTAACACGAACAGATGCCTCATCCAATAGACTCAAATTTGCAGATCGACGTCATCGGTTTCGCCCCGACTGGTCATCATCAGCTGACATTCACTGTTTCTGACGGTGAATCTTCAAGCGATTTGACAGTCGAAGTGCAAGTACAGGTGAGAAAGTCTGTCTCTCAAAGTTTCGCGTTATATTGGAGCAAATTTGTTCCAGAATTCTCGATCTCACGCTCACTTCAGAAGACCGAAGTATTTGAGATCGATTACTGCGGATAAAGTTCATCAAGGTGGTGAAGCTTTTTATCATTCACAGCCCTTTCCACGGAACCATTAGTTTTTTTAAGGTAATCAGCTGCTCCAAGTGGAACTTGAAGGCGTTCCCATCGATGAGGCTCGCTTTGTAATTCTTCAAGGAAATCCAGGATGGCTCAGCATTGACGACTACGGAGGGCGCGTCGGAGTAGCTAAATTCATTAGGTCCTTTCTTACTTACGTTGTGCGCTTTGGAGTTGCCGAGCCGATATGTATAGGGCAGTTAACCAGTAAGAGCATGCTCAAACATGCTTCTCTTTCAGGCGTGCCCTACTTTCAGTTTTCTAGTGGGTCTATACTAGGGAAGATCGACTTCTGAAGATGTTAATCCTGGCAGTTCTCTTTTGTTAAGTGATCGGGACTTATTTGTATTGACTGACTAATTTTCCTCACAAACCTCGCCCACCTAGAAACTCTCTCCTTTAGCAGGAAGCCGATTGCGCAGCTGGGCCTTTCATATTTGTGAAAAGAAGGGCGTGTCAGAGGAGCACGGAAGGAGGAATATGCTTTTGCTCGGCTTCCGTCTAAGGGCACGTGCGAAACGGAAGCTGAGCTATCTCTTTGCTTTCGACCCCCTCAATAATTCTCATTTATTAGATTTTACAACAAAGATTTTATTTGTGCGTTGTGCCGAGAAGCAAAAACAGCTAAATTCGATTGTTTTACAGTCCTGTGGAATCTGGCACGTACCTTGTAGAAATAGGAGCTGTGGATCGGCAAAGCAACGCACTGCTGGCGCAGACTCAGTTGGAAATCAAAGTCGTGGGAGGAGTGGAGAGTGAAAAGAAGATGTTCGCACAGAGCTTCTTCCAGCGAACTCTAGATCGCGGTTTGTTCTGCCCTCGTGGTTCCCACCAACATTGTTACTGAGCGACTTCAATTTCAGAGGAGACAAACTGAATTCTCCGTACCATTCAAGATGAAGAAATCAGGAACTGTCCGCGTTGCGTCTGTGTTCGCCATTGACGAGAACGGCCAACAAAGCGATTTCAAGATGGCATGCTGTTTCAAGTTGATATGTAGCCTAGGCATTGAATTCACTGAAGAGTTTTCCAGAGCGACATAACCCTGAGGAAGCATTCCGTTGTTTGTGTTTCGAAAAAGAGCTCGCTGGCAGATCTTCGAGCGGTTAGCGTCGAACTGATATCAGAAGGAGAAAAAGGTGCACCATTTTGTTAGCCTTCAACTGAATTCATTGCAGTGGAGAGAGGTTTTTCTGTTCCAGTACTGTGGCAGATGGTCAGGCGCATTTGCAGAGCTACAAAGAGATAAATTCGGGATTTTGTATGAAACCGATATATTGAAAGGCGCTCAACATTAGGTAGAGTGGGTGCTTATACAAAAACAAGCCCCGCCGATTGCATATTGTGGGTAGTGGCATTCAATAACAGCCTATAGCCACCAGGCGACTCTCTAGGCAAGAAAAACTAAAAGAGCACTGCATGTGCTCTCAATGAAAAATATAATCAAGGAGAGCAGATTTACTTATGAGCAAGAACACTGTCAGCAAAGGCAGTCACGCAATAGGATTTATGCCTGCCGCTACACTAAACAACAATTGCGCGCCACTGCGTTCACTGTGAAGTGGACATTCTGAGAAAGGCGGTCCAACTGAGCTGGTGTCAGAATCTGAACTTACGACGGTTGCAGAACCCTCGCCACCTACCTTCTAGTTGCAAAAGTGGGGTGGAACCATTTCTGAGCCTGCAAACTGGACCATTTGAACAAGGGAGTCCATCAGCTGATTGTCTTTGCCGTGGGACTGTCTTTAAAGTACTCCTTTTGCGGAAGCGAGACCAACGTCATGTGAATGGAAAAAACCATTTTTTTTCTTTTTTTTCATCATGCCATACCAAGTGGTGAACAGCGGCGCTCACTTATTCGCGAAAGGATCTGCTTCCGATTTCGTTCACCATCCCTAGTGCACGTTTCAACAGCTGGGGCCCGTCAGACCCGGCCATGCCAAGGATGCACCTGAGCGTTTATTGTGCCTTTAAAGACAGTTGGCACGATAAATCCCCCAAGACAACTAGGTTCAGTACTCCTGGCAGGATAGAATTCTGCGACCCCGGGCAGGCGCTGCATAGCGGTTTCCCCGAGGTAGGTGCCCTTATAAGGGTCCTATTAAGCTACAACATTCCGACCCAAACGCCACGCCCCGCCCACAAATGGACGACCGTTCCTGACGCTCGTATTCATTCATTTGCTAAGCAAATTATGAAGCGAAGGGATTGGTATGAAGCGGCCGTGATGCTGCATGCATGCATATATGGGTACACATATGCAGCCGTCTTCGGTAGCGGTGATTGGCAAGATGCCTACGGGAAACTCGTCCGAAATCGATTTTCAAGTCACTGAGAACGGAGGCTTTTTCTTCGCAGGATTTTGACCGTTTCACTCCGTTCTTTCGCCATTTCCCCACTATATAGCGCCCTACTAGCATTTTAAGGCCGAGTAGGAAACCATCGTGCCACTGCCTTTAAGGCCAAACTGGTAGTTCCCATCTCCTCTGAGAGAATACCAGTTTTGCACAAGGAGCACTTTAAAAGTCACCCCCAAGGTTATATAACAGTTAGTCAAGCTTTGGCCATGTACTTTAGCATTATGTTATTGAGAACCATGGTTTGTATCTGCACTGGATCATTAGCCTTGTGTGAAAAAAAAACGGGTCGCTAAAGGATAAATGGTAGAAGATAATATTAGAAGGAATCATCTTTAGTTTTCCAAGGCCTCGCCGAGGTCGCAGTACAACAGATGCTACTGTAAAGACTCCCTATAATCTAACTGCAAACATCTCAACTTGCTTGTATTAGGTTGTCCGGAAAGGAATGCGCGTTGAATTTTTTGAACTTGTCCATTTTTTCTCTCCTACTATAGAAGATTTTTGGAGACAGTTTTGTCTATTAGAAAGAGATTTTTATTGTGCTTCTTTTGATATATTTTTGTCCATGTCTACTTTGCTTTTTTTGGGGAAAAAGTTGGGAAGAGCGGGTGCCGCACCAGCTGAGCGACGCAAACAAGGCAACACGAGTGGCAATGGCCGGAATTCTTCTTCGTCGCTCCAAGAACAGCGGTTTTTTCGACTCTATTATTACATCAAATGAGAAAAGGGTCTGCTTCGATAACGCAACGAGAAAAGGACAGTGGTTAGACTCCAGTGACCCTCCAAAACGGACTCCGAAACCTGATATACGCGGCAAAAAGGTGATGCTCCGTGTTTGGTGGAATAGCAAAGGTTTGATGTACTTTGAAGTTCCGGAATCGGGTCAGACGGTTACGGCGGACATCTCGCAAACACACAATTGAACCGCATGGATCCAGCACTGCATCTTCAAAGAAAATCACTCTAGAAAAAAATTGAGGAATTGGGCTGGAAAGTCCTGCCTCATCCGCCACACAGATCAGACCTGGCACCATCGATTACCATCTGTTCCGGTCGATGCAGAACTCCCTGGCCGAGAGAAAATTCACAAACCGCGAAAAAGGTCCAACTCTGGGTGTCCAACTTCTTTGAGTCGCAGCCGGTCGAGTTCTTCAGAAGAGGAATCCATTTTTTGCATAAATGTTGACAACAAGTCATTGATACTAATGGAGATTGTCTTTTGAATTTATCTTGTTTAATTTCGTTTTTATAATAAAAAATTTTTTAAGCTCGAACGCGCATTCCTTTCCGGACAACCTAATAGTATACTTAGCGGGCGACTTCAGCGTGGAATCAAAGTGATTAGTTCGATACGGTGGAATCAGAACTGATGCAAGAGAAATGTGCTGTAGTGGAACCCCTGTTTATTACTCAACTACTTATTCCAGCAACTGTCATGCTTTCTCTAACCTCGTCGCCTCAGTTCATAGAGAATCGTAGAAGAGAGTCCGCACGGCCAGTGTTTGCACGTCCGTGGAGCAAAGAGACACCAGTTAATTGAGTAGGGTGTGGCTCTCGGTATCATTCCTCTTCATGACCTATGTTACGGTTCAGGCTGAGCATTCCGGAGGAGCTACCTGAAGGGCACGTTATCTACACTCTGCCTGCGGTTAATCCCCTGGATGGATCACTGGTTCCGTCAAGAATGGAGGGCGATATGAAGGACGCTTTCAGTCTTGACCCGTCAACAGGTACTCGTGACTGTCGATAATTCTGAAGCCATTCTGTAAAACTCTTTGCTTAGGAGCGATTTCGATCGCCCATCGCCTGGACGTGGATAATATGGTGCCCTCCGATCGTGTTATGTCGCTCAAATTCACAACGGGCTCGAATGGATATGAATCCGTGAGCGGAGCTGAAAATCACGTGTGAATATAGGACGATAACGCCACGCTGATCATAGAGAAAGAAGGTCTCAATAATGAGGTCTGCTTTCTTCCGAACCTTACTCGTGTTTTTTTTAGTTTACTCCTCTGGAGGGATATTGGCATTAGACAGCGTATAAACTTTCACGACGACGCTATTCTCTCAAATCACAAGTGGCCAGCGCCGACCGATTCCCGTCTGCGGCTGCGTTCGCTTCTGTAGCATTGGGACGCCCTTGCATTGGTAGCGCTTAACGCGCCCTATGATGCGTCTGCGCGCGGCATCGCGAAGTCTGAAC